AAGAAAGAGGTTTGGTTTAACGTTTGATGTTATATAATACCATCACATGGTAATGTAGAGTGAGAAGCATAGTAAAAAGTCCCCCTTTTTTTTTTTCTTTTTTAATTTTGTATTTATCCTAAGCTGGATTCTAACACTTTTTTTTTCTTTTTATGAATTTCAATTGCATAATAGTAAATAATTATCCTTCTTCATTTAATTTATTTTATTTATATATCATATTACTATAATTTATGGTTTCTTTCTTTTTAAAAAAATTATTATTTAATTATTTAAGTTGTTAACATATTCTAAAACAACTTAATTATTTCTCTTTAGATGATTTTAAAGGAGTCCCTTCACATCTAACTATTATATTTTAAAAAAAATAAATTCCTTTATTGTTAGGCTCCAAACTCAAATATTAAATTTTACTTATAAAATAATACTTATTTATCAATAAATTTAATTATTGAAGTTTTTATTGATAGTAATATAGTAAGAACTAAGAAACATTTGATGTCAAAAGCTGCATGTAATTAAAATTTTCATTAATTATAATTATGGGAATGGAAAATTTGAACTTGATACTTCTCATTTGTATCAAACTAATTTATTCACGGGTGATCAGCAGTATGCCCTAAGCAACTAAAATATTAAAGATTGGAAGAAAAGCGTTTTGATGGGTTAGGCACTTGCAATGCTAGCTGCCTTGCTTGGTCAAGTTGCACCTAAACCACGGCTACATCCATGGTTTAAATTGTAGGAATATTCTGCCTTTTGTAACAGTTATTCTCCCTTTCCACAACTTCCCCATGCTAGAAAAAGAAGTATTTGTATGAGTTAGTTAAAGAATGGTTAATTTGGTTTAATTAGATGTATTTTAGGGGATGATGTTTATCAGGTGAGGATTAGAAAGGGGATTAGTTGGGGGAAGGGAGGCAAAAATAGAGGTTAATGAGGATTTAAAGAAGGGCTGGTAAGGGTAGGATCAAGTTTCACAATTTGATAGTCACTTTGTGATACTTACTTTTGCAGCTCCTAAACGCACATAGTGCTTGCAAATTGCAAATTGGCATAAAAAGCAAAAGCAATTGCATGTGAAAAGCATGCTACCTCCATTCATAAAACTTTTATTTTTAAATAAAATTTAGAATGGTGTCAATATAACTTTTATATTTTGTTAGAGGAAAGTTTAAATTTTTGATAAAATGATGGAAACAAAAATCTAATGATATATGATGGGGCACTTCATAAAACTTACCCATTTCCCAGATTGATCAAATTTTTGTGTATTTTAGTCTCACTCATGGAAAGCTTGTGGGAGGATGAATAGGGATCGGTTAGGGGCACTAAATGAGGAGCCCAACAAGAAAAGAAAGGGACAGACTACCCTTTGTAAAGTGGGCATTGCTTAATTTTAGCAGCCTATGTTTGCATCACCATGTCTCACCACTAGCAGTTAGATACAAACCAACTTAATTACAGAAATGAATTGCACTGGTATCATTCAGCAGTTTTAATCCTTTTAAAAAAATTATAAAATCAAAAATGCATAAAATTGTATAGCTAGATTCGAAACTAAAACTCTTCAAAACTCAACAATTGGATACTTAGTTGACTAAGAAATTGATCTTTTTGATTTATATATACTCAAAAGAGGGAGAGGGCTAAATTCATTGTTTCCAGCGAAGCTCTCTTTTAGTAATGTGGAATTGGGTGACATTATAAAGTGCAAAGAGTTGGCTTCACAAATCATTTACTCAAAACTTATTCAATACGAAATGATTGAACATACTGCTCATCACGTCCATTTCATTCCTTGAATATCTTGGTACGTACTAAAGTGACCCTTAACTCCCATATATATTCCCAGTTCTTCCACATTATTTGATATTTTCAGCTACTCTTTGAATTAATAAAGAGGAAGCTCAACTTCCACTTCCCGTATATATGTTGCTTAATTATTTAGAAATTTTTTTATTTTTTTTCCCTTAATCATGGATTACTTTAGTTTATAAGATTTCCATTTGTGCCATACAAGTTACAATTATTGACGAGTCCTTTCCAGTAGTCCCACATTCTTAATTAAAATAAACCCTAGATTTTTATCTCTTTGAAATTATGATTAAGATGATCAAACTAATAAATTAGCTTTGCTTCTAGCGTATAATTAGAATTTAAATATATGTACTGTATAACCCCATTTTTTTTTCTTTTAATTTGATAAAGTAGCAACTATAAATCTCATTTTTGGCCAAAATTTCTTCCAACTTAACTTAGAAGTTGACTATCAGCACAACATTTATATTTAACTTTACCTACATGACATGGCTCTACATAACATTAATAACCGCCCACATGAAATACATTAAATTAAGCAAATTAATAATTAATTTTAGATGTTAGATATAAACTAGTGTCAAGAACAGTATAAGTGTGTGTGTGGGCTAAGGAGGTCTCTGGTTTTTAGCGTAACAAATTCAAGTTGTTATCTAAGGCACGTAAGATATAATATATTATCCACCCACGAGCGGGTGGATGAGTTGGCAATAACTATTTCAGTTTAATTAGAGATTTTGGTTTCAAGTTTTAAAAATGCAGTTCCGTTAAAACTCGTGAGGGAGAGTTTTGTCACCCATTGGATCTTACCCAACTCGAATTCGAATTAGTCGATAACCTAATGAGCTTTCGGATACCGGTTGGTTAAAAAAAAAAAAGATATAATATACTGCCACCGACTACTCTTTCCTGTTCCTCTTCTTTTAAAGCTTGGAGGAAGGAGGATTCTGAGGAAAAGCATTGCATTATAATCAACCCGTTACTTAATCGATATGAGATAATAACAGCAACATGTTAAGTTTATGACTTTGTCATGTCATATGTGTAATTAGGTGTGCATTTATAACCTTTGATTACAAATATTATGTGTGGATTTGAGAGGATACCTATTTGTGGATCTAACCATTCAATATGAGAATTTAAAATGAAATCCACGTAATAGGTGCAGTGGCATAGCTACTAATTATATGGAATTCAACCAATGAAATTATATTCGAACCCCACTAACCCGTTTCCTATTTCTCCTTCCCCTAGTACCCTTAATTGTAACAAATTATTTCTGTTAAAAAAAAAACCCAAAACAAAAAAAAAAAGCAAGAAAAAAAAATGAAAATACTATAATTATAATATCATATAATATTATAAACGTACAACATAATATGTCGTTATATAATTAATTTTTTTATTAAAAAATCTATTAATAGTTTTATATATATTTATTTATTTAATATCATATAAATAATTTTACGTGATATTGAAATTATAGTATTTAAAAAAAAAAAGAA